CCTTCCAGTAAATATATATATAAATTTTATCTTCGACTAATTCAAGGTAGTAAAATTTGCATTGAGCAGAATTTGCTACAAAAAAAGGCAAGCAAATTTGTTGAATTTGTACGTACCAGTGATTACGACGAGTGACTTAATTAAACAAAATTGAAGGAACGAGATTAATTTTCTTTATTCATTTCGTAAATGCAGTCATACATACTTCACTTTTGACATAACAGTTAACTCGAGTAAACAGCATGGTCGTACGCTAATTAATATCGCAATTTTAATTACATCGATAAACATTCAAAGTTCATCTTATCAAAACGTTCCTGTCAAAGCGTACTGTCACTGCAATTCCTAATTACTCTGAATTTACGCCGCCTTATTACTGAACTACTCCGACTTTCAGCTGTCTCGCGTGAAAAAGGGGACCGTCAAAAAAGATGGTTTACTGGAACTTACATTGTACATTTCATGCAGATGAAAGTTGCACAGCCTAGGGGGTGGAAGTTTTGAATAAATCGTTAGGGAAAAAACATGATTCCGGGGCAATTGAAATGTAACAGCAATTCCTATGCTAAAATCATGCTGGCAGGAATAGTGTGTGCTTGTGAGAATCTTTTATTTAAAAGAGAGGGGTGGGAGAACTTTTATTAAAATTAAATAACTTTTTAGCTATGCTGTCTTTTTAAAATATCTGCGACTTAAGTTTGCGTAATTAAAGCCGGAGTATTTGCAATTAAAATACCATGCACCGCAGTTTAATTAAAATTCTAAAAACGAGCAGATACTGTAGTAGCTTGTGCCTTGTATTTGTGCAAGGTTGGACTTCAAATTAATGAAGAACAACAATTTTCAACAACAACGACTGGTGAATTGTTAATTTGTTCGCAACTATTTGCGACGGGTTGGCTCTGGTTAGTTCATTCAGCACAGAGTTGAATGTTTAGTCGATTCAGTTGATCCTTTTGGATTTCAACTGTGTTTTGCCATTTTTGGAATAGTTTCGAGTGGTTAAAAGTGAGCAGCGAATGGTTTTTTCCAGCTTCGAAATACAGAGTCTTTCTTGTATCTTCTTCTACTTAAATCACAATTCAGTAATTGAAATTTAATTATTAGAAAAACAAAAAGATACTGGATGACTATATTAGCGATGATAATTAGGACTCTGTTTGAATTATAGTTCGACGCTATTTAAATTATTGTTGAAATATAGATGAACTCTGTTTCAATTGTAGTCGAAATATAGTTGAACTCTTCTTTTTGCACGAGTTCGCGATGCAACGCGATCTATTTTACTAAAGACGGCGCGTTAGTGAAGGTCGTAACTCTTCACTCCGATGTTTCGACACCGCGTATCGTACAGTGTTTTTCCTTACGAACGTTTCCGGAGGTAAGGAATGATATTTTCGATGTGTCTTTTGGTTTTACTTGTCCTCGTGAAGTGTCTTTTTTGAACTCTCTATTTTGTGGTGGTGCGTGGGTATATATTGGGTCGGTGTATGTTCTGATTGGTTGGACGTTGAAGGTGGTGGAAAAGAAGGTCTCGAAAAATGCGGAGGTGTGATTGGATATTAGGAAACTAGTGGAAGGAGAACGTGAGGGTGAAGGTGGTGGGCAAAAGTTGAAATAATTTGGGAAAAACCCGGAAAGGGGAAAGGGATAGGAAACATGACCAGGTAGGGAAGGAATTTGTTAGGGGTTAGGAAGACGGCTGGAAAGGACTGTTTATTAGTTTATGATGTGTTACTGGCCGGTGGGCTGCGCGACCGGACAAGGACAATCGAACAACTCTATTTAAATTATAGTTGACATATAGATGAACTCCATTTCAATTATAGTCCAAGTGTAGTTGAACTCTATTTGAATTCTAGTTAAACTCTATTTGAATGATAGTTGAACTCTATTTGAATTATAGTCCAGATATAGTTCAACTCTATTCAAATTATAGTTGAACGATAGTTGAGTGATAGTTGAACTCTATTTGAACGACAGTCGAGCAATTATAAAGCTATAAAAGCACAAAGAATGAACTTATAAAGACTCACGTTACAACCTGATTTAGAATTTAATATAAGTGTGTCATATATACTCAACATACTTTATGTAGAAAGTTTGTGATGGGCGTATAGAAACTTTAGATAGTCACGTAGAAAATTTTCCTCGATGTTTCAATCTTCACATATACTTCACATATTGTTTTTCTTTTTTTTCAATACTTTGCAACATAAAAAATAGTTGTAGTTCAACGTTTCTATTCGATGTATTTTCAAGATTTTACAACCACGTTTTAATTGATCGTAGCTTAAAAGCTCGAGATACAGTTTCGAACCTTAATGATCAAACTTTGATTGTCATAAACTTTCGAACTCCAGGTGCGCTTTGAACTCTGATGACTGAACTTGAACTTTTTAGAACTTCCAAACTTTGTACATGCTTTGAACTTTGACTATCGATTCCTCGCTAACTTACCAAACTTCGAACCGTATAATCCGAAGCTACAGAACTCTTAAATCGACTATTCCGTGAACGTTAAGTTATGCGAGACACTACTATCGCGAGGAATGAATTCTTTCATGTTAACTTTAAAGCTGAGAGGATATAATTCCCCCGTTTCTTTCAACCTTTTCGTTTTTTAAATATTGAATTCGCTTTAGAAAAATAATTTACATATTTCAAATGATAGTAAACACGTGTGCCAAAATTCATTTAAAAAAAGTCTCACAGTTTCTTCGAGAAAAAATCCCGAAAAAGGTGGAAGAAATTGCATTCTAGAACGGAATATCCCTTTTAAGGGAAGAATTTGTTCGACATTCGTTCACGTCGTGAAAATCTCGTCGCAGAGATGTCAAGATTGGCGAAAACCTAGTGCACGAGTGGTGTTCGCTCCGACATTTCAGTTATTTCAATTAGGAATTAGTTAACGTAATGTTTACAGCGAAGATTGCCCGAACAGGGGGACAGGCTATTACGCTGCTTCTCTATTAAAGGGTATTAACTTCGTGACGCGGCCTCTCGTGGATTTTACAGGGGAAGTTTCACTTATTAAAACAGATGCAAGATTCCGTTCGAGATACGCTGAATCCGCTTTGGAAACTAACAGCGTGCTTGATGTGCCACGCAGTTTACCCAGAATCATGCCCGAGAAAGCTTAAAACTTGGGTGGCTAGGGAAGGAGATGGAACGATATAATTTCTTTTCTTTTCTTTTTTGTTTCACGATTTAAGTGAAAGTTCGAGAAACAGGTGCTCCGAAATATGGAGGGTGAACCGTGTCGTGACGTGGTTACCTTTATTATTTTCGTTGATAGTGAATCGATCCAAATTTTTTTTATTATAGAATAAGTGATTTTGAAGGATTTTGAAGATGACGACGTTAGATTTTTCTTTTCTTTTTTTAATCCTATTGTGGTCTTTGGGTCATTTTTGACCCAAAGACCTTAAGTGTATAGCCGAACGAAGGAAAGTACTAGAACTAAATAAGTTTGCCTAACTTTGAACTTTTTCACGTACAAACTATAGTCTTTGTTGCCTATCACCTTGCAGGCATTGAGAAAAATTCAAAGAGTGGATACGACGATCACAATTTTCAGATGATAAGTGATTTTGTATCGAATTCATTTAAATTCACCTTTCTTACGCTCAGTATTGTATGTTCAAAATGCCGACAGCCAGTTTCTCTGCACTTGTGCACATACCCTGTATAATTTAACCCAACCATATTGGCCATGAAAATAAATATTACAAAAATGATTGAAAATAGAGAATAACAATAGTTCACACAGTATATTATTCAGCATTTCTACATCAAACCACTGTGCTTCGTTCATCTGAAACGTCTCCGCGGTCTGTTTTTCATAAAAGTTGCAAGTCGTTGACACGAGACGACAGAAGAAAGAGAGAAATCCATGATTGCATAATTGTAAAATCAACGACTTGAAACGACCGTTCGAAAGAGGAGAGAAGTTTTTCCATCATCGAGCTCGGCTTTTATTTATTCAGAAAAGTAGAGAGGGGAAACTTCGACAGAGCAGAATGTAAATTCTAATTTCGCCTGTAGCGCTGCTGTCCTCTCCTTTGCTCCTTTTAACGGAAAAGTTCGCAGGAAAATAGAAATATTGGAAAAAATGTTGCGCCGTTCGACGCGCCGTTATACATCGTCGATGTGCCGCGCGATATTTTCACATTCCTCTTTATGCATATCGAGCCCCAAGAATCACAATTTTCTCTCTCCTTTGCACGTATTATTCCGATAACTTGAAATCTTCAGCCGACGGTGATTTCGACCAAATCTACGTTGCCAGTTCGATACAAATATCCCTGTAATTGTACTCTGTTTTTTTTTCTGTACACATTTGCGATTCTAGAGTCGAAGGTATAACGATTGGAAAGGATAAGAAATACCGATAAAAGTATCGGGAAGAAATATTCTTGTTACTTGTAGGAATATCATTCGTGCCAAGATAG